GAACCAGTACAGCCACAGCATCCTGACGGTGAGGCCCCTGTGTGCTGGGCCTTGGGGAGGGTTGCTGGTGTTGGGCAGGCATCTGAGCTGTCCTGTTGCAGAATCTGAACCACTTTGTGGCCGGCTGGACTGACTGGAATCTGGCCCTGGATCTGGAGGGGGGCCCTAACTGGGTCAAGAACTATGTGGACAGCCCCATCATCGTGGACAGCAGTGAAGGCATCTTCTACAAACAGCCCATGTTCTACCACATGGGGCACTTCAGGTGGGTTGGAGCCCACAACATGCGCTAAGCTGCCTTGTCCTGAGAGAAGCAAGGCAAATTTGGCTCAAGAGGAGCTCTCCTGGGGTCTCCCTGAGGTTGCTTCTCGTTTGTCTGCTCAGTAAATTCATCCCTGAGGGCTCCCAGCGCGTGGGGCTCGTCGCCTCCAGAGAGTCCAAGAAGACAGAGCTGGAGTACACGGCTTTCCTGCGGCCCGACGGGGCTGTGGTTGTGGTGGTTCTGAACCGGTGGGTGATGCAGCCTGGCCCCCCTCTGTGGGACCCCCATCTGCCAGCCCCATGTGGGACCCTCATCCTGCCAGCCCTGTCTGGGACCCTCATCTTGCCACCCCTGTGTGGGACCCCTGTCCTGCTAACCCTGTGTGGGACTCCCATCCTGCCAGCCTTGTGTGGGACCCCTGTCCTATCAGCCCCATGTGGGACCCCCATCCCATCAGCCCCATGTGGGACCCCCCTCCTGCCACCCCTGTGTATGACCCCTGTCCTGCCAGCCCTGTGTGGGACCCCCGTCCTGCCAACCCTGTGTGGGACCCCCATCCTGCTAACCCTGTGTGGGACCCCACCCCCCGGGCCCTGTGCAGGTGCTGCAGGTCTGAGCGCGCTGCTGTCACCCCCAGGTCCCCACAGGACATCACCTTTGGGCTGGCAGACACGGTCGGCCTCATGGCGGCCGTGGCTCCGGCCAACTCCATCCAGACCTACGTGTGGCGGCGGCAGTGACGGAGCAGTGACCGGGCCGGACGTGCAGCCCCAGCTGCCCGCGGGCTCGGGCCGGGGGAGGTGCCCCCGGGGCCGTGGCAGAGCCGGAGTGGGGCCCCGGGGACGCCGTGGTGTGCAGGAGGGCCGGGGGCCCCGGTGCCCCTCAGGGTGGAGACCCCACAGGCTGTGAACGCTGTGTTCTGCTGTTCCCACATTAAACACGGATGCTGCCTTGGTGTCTGCGGCTGGAAGAGAAACCTCCGGGTGCCTCCCCCGCTCCTGGGCGCTGTGGCTGGGTGCCACCGCGGCGTGGAGCCTGCTGGAGCCTGGCGAGCAGCACAGAGCAGCTGGAGCATCGTGGGCAGCCCCTCTCCCTGCCCACCTCAGCTCCCGGGGGCTCACCCTGCTGAGAGATGCTCCAGGTGTGAGTCTGCTCCCAGTTCCGAGCACGCACTGCCTGGCTGGGGCTGAGCAGAGCCCGGCTGTGCTCCTGCTGCTGTTGGGGACGGGTTTTAGGACCTAGCAAGTGGCTCGGGAGTCACCCTGAATGCAGATGCTGCATCAGGAGCAGGCACAAAGCACTTGGAAACCCACCCTCGATGGAAGGGCTGAGCAGGGACTGCAGCCAAGTTTCAGCTTTCTGTGCTTTTCCTTGCCAGTCTGGAGCCACCTGCAGCCTGATGTCAGGCCAGGGGCTGTGTGGGTCACACCCAGACCGAGGTCCTGAGGCCAGGGCTGGAGGTAGGGCCAGCTCCAGGAGCATGGCAGCGTGGGGGCTCAGGGTGCCAGGCAGCTCTGGCTGAGCCCCAGCTGCTCCTGGGGCTCTTCTGGGATAGAGGGGCTGGCCAGGCTGCAGCAGCCCTGCCTGGAGCCTGCTGCTCCCCATGGGGGCTGATCCGAGGGGTCCCCATCATGGTGAGGAGAGTGGGGGTGCACCAGGGGCTCAGCACCCACCACAGCTCTGGTTGAGGTCATGGCAGTGCCAGCTGCTCCTGGGGCTTTTCAGGGACAGAGGGGCTGGCCAGGCTGCAGCAGCCCTGCCTGGAGCCTGCTGCTCCCCTTGGGGGGCTGATCCGAGGGGTCCCCACCGTGGTGAGGAGAGTGGGGGTGCACCAGGGGCTCAGCACCCACCACAGCTCTGGGGTGCCTTGAGCAAGCGGGGGCAGGACCGGGAGTGGGTGCTGAGTGTGGGCGCACCCAGGAAGGAGGGAGGGAGCTGCCAGGGTGTGAGAGCAGGAGATTAGGGCAGGGAGGTCATAATTTCAGGGCGAGGAGGGCGGCGGGGCCCCTGGGCTGATCCCTGCAGGTGGGATGTGCCCAGGGGTGCTGTCAGGACTGACAGCCGCGATGCTGCGTGGGCTGAGCACAGCCCAGGCGTGGCCGGTGAGTGACAGTGTCACCCTGGGACACCGGAGCCACAGGGATGCTGCTCCCGGGACCCTGCAGCTCCGGGAGTTGCCGCCAGAGTCCTGAGGAGAGCAGCCTGCTCCTGCCCCGAGGCTGTTTGTGTTTGTCCACAAGAGGGAAACGTTTCTCCAGGATCACGCAGCGAGTCCCATCCCCACCACCCCGCTGCCAGCATCCCGCTCCCTGCAGGGCTGCTCCCCCACCTGTTTCTCCCTTACCTGGGCCGCTGCTAGCGCTGGTGGCCGGATGCTGAATCACCCAGGTCCACGTGCCCTGGTCCCTGCGCTCGGCTCGGTGCTCAAGGACCGACTGGCTCCGGGATAAACGCAGCGGGGGCGAATCCTCCGACGTCGCTGGGCTTGGCTCTGCTCATTAATTCTTGTGCAAAGCCTTGGCTTGTGTGCGGCTCGCGGTGACTGGGGGCTGCTGGGGTCCCACCTAGAGCCAGTGATCACCCTGAGGATTGTCCTCACGCGCTCTGGGCCGGGGTCTTGCTGTTGGGAAGGAGTGATGCCACACTGAGGCCACATCTTTGGCATAAATATTAACAAAGTCGTGATGCCCAGAAAGGTGACTCAGCCCAGCTCTGTGTCCCCGTGTCCCCATCCACACCGGCCTGGCTTAGGGACAAAATTCACCCTCTGGTTCCTGTGAGGACAAAATTCACCTTCTGGTTCCTCTGAAGACAAAATTCACCCTGTGGCTCCTCTGAGGACAAAATTCACCCTGTGGCTCCTCTGGTGGCTCCTTTGACCCCACCTCCTTCAATGAACCCACCGAGCACTGCAAAGGGCTGTCACACCACTCCACGAGATCCCTGCGACCCCCAGAAGCCCCCCTCTTTGGAGATTGGCCACAAGAAGCAGCTTTGGGGGCTTGGTGGGGCTGCCTGGTATCTGCTGTGCCAGCAGCAGCTCCATGCGAGGCGTTGCCCGGCCCCTGGGTCTCACTTTTCCTGCTCAGCAGGGCGCTCTTATCAGCTGCTGTTGATAAGGATGAGCTCCAGCAGCCTCCGCAGTGTTTTGCTTCCAGGAGCTGTGTGAGCTGAGCCAGCTGGGGGGCTGTGGTGGATGGGGGGCAGGAAGGGCTGGAGTTTGGAATGGGAAAGGGTGAGCAGGGGCATCCAGGATGGCTGGAAGTGAGCTCCAAGGTGGCTGATTGCCTTAGGAGCTATTAATCCCTCCCCAAAATTGGGGCTCATTAGCCTGGGTGTAGCAGTCTGGTCACACCTTAATCACACTCGGAGGTGGGAGAGCCACAGTGCAGCGGGACAGGGACAGCAGCTCCCTCCTGGGGCACCTGTTTGCCCCCTGAGAGGTAACCAGGGGCTGCCTGGCCCCATCTGCCCCAGCCCCAGTGGCTCCAGGTGTCTCATGGCTCAGCTCCCAGCAGAGGTGTGGAACTGTGGCAGGGCCCACAGCAGGGCAGTGCTGGGGGTAGGAGGAACTTTGATGAATTGATTTGCCCCAGAGCTGCATCTGATATGCCAGAAATGGAGAAAATTAGTCACAAAGTGCTGCTCCACCCATGGAGGGAGAGCTAACGGAGCAGTTTAACCCTGTGCAGGGCAGCCCTGAGCTGCTGATGGATGCTCCAGGCCAGCAGAGCTGTGGCTGGGAGCTGTGGCTGGGATGTGGCCACTCTCCATTCCCTGGGCCAGCCCTGTGTGGGGATGCTGAGTGTGTCCCCACAGTGAGGGGTACCTGTCCACAGGAGTGGCAACGTCCTGGGTGATGGCACCAGGTAAGGTCTGTGTGCCCAGGTGAGCTGGCCCAGTTCAGCCTTGGCTTGCTGGGCTGGAGGGTGACTCCTGGAGGAGCAGGGAGTGCTACAGGAGCACCAGAGCTGGCCTTTGTTCCTTTGTTGGGACAGCAAGGTCCCCTTTGAGGGTCTAGCTGCTGCTGTTGGGCCAGGAGCTGGGGTATTGCCTGCTTGCTGTGCCACTGCTGTCACTGCTGCCACCTTCCCCAGCACATGCTGAGCTGGGGAGAGTGATGCCAAAGGCTTGGGCAGGGAATGACAACAGCCCCAGCTCCCCTGTGGCCACCCCTGCTGTGCCCCTATGCTGCCCTGAGCTCTGCAGCCACGTTCACTGACCTTGCCTGGGTGTCCTGGACCCTGCTGCACGGCCCTGTGTCTCCTGGGGGACAGTGGGGACAGTGGGGTGGCAGGCAGGGACAAGTGGGTGTCCTGTTGGAGGTGCCCAGCAGGACAGACAGCTGTGCCATGAGCCTGCCCTTGGCTCTGCTGGGCTCTCAGGGGCTCATCCAGACCCTGCCTGACAAAACAATCAGTTCTTCCTTCAGTGGGGTCTCAGATCTGCCCCTGTGACCCCCTCCCTGGGCTGGCTGGACCTTCCACCCGGGCCCAGCTGCCAGCACCACATCCCTGTCCCTCCTTGCCGTGGCAGCGGAGGGTGACAGGGACCCGGCGGGAGCAGAAGATCGGCGGTCCTCGGCCCGGGGCAGGTACGGGCCGGGAGCAGAGCAAGGAGGAGCTGTGGGGGTGGGAGAGGGTGTGCTGCGGAGGGAGGTCTCCGAGCAGCTCCCTGTAAAGGCCAGGTGGGGAGGCTGCACTGCTGAGGAGGAGGAGGGCTGGCGGCAGCGCAGGTCGGGAGCAGCCGGGGTGAAGGCGGGTGCGCTGCGGGCTCCTGGCAGGGATGGACCCTCCCTGAGCAAGATGAGGGTGTTCTGGAGGGATGGAGGGTGCGGCAGGAGCTCCGTGGCACTGCAAGGGGCTGAGCAGATGGGGCTGATCCCTCCGTGCCCCTGCCGTGACCGAAGGTGTCCCCGCCGCAGGTGCTGCTCCCCGGGACCTTCCAGAGCTGGGGGAACGCGGAGGGGCCATGGGGGCTGTCGGCATCCTGGGCTGGCTGCTGCTGCTGCTGCTGCCGGTGCCCCAGGTGGCAGGTGAGCACGGGGACGTGGCGGGGGTGGCAGCGGGGCTTGGGCACCCTGGGGCAGCGCGGAGCTGGGTGCCCGGGAGGTGCCGGAATGCGGAGCACGGGGACAGCGGCATCTCCCCGGGGCAGGCGGGGGAGCACACAGGGACACGTCCCTGAGCCGGCAGCCATCCCCAGCCTCCCGTGCCTCCCAGGTGCCCGGCCCTGCATCCCCAAGGATTTTGGGCACGGCTCGCTGGTCTGTGTCTGCAATGCCACCTACTGTGACACGCTGGACCCCCTGGTCGTGCCAGCCCCCGGCTCCTACGTCAAGTACGAGAGCAGCAAGGCCGGCAAACGGCTGGAGCGGAGCGAGGGGAAATTCCAGAGCAGTCTGAGCACCCGAGGTAGCGCCACTGGTGGGTGGCGGTGCCACCGCGGGCCCCCAGGCAGCAGGGACCGAGCCGGGCTCTTCCCGCAGGGCTGCTGCTGACGCTCAACATCTCCACGCTGCACCAGCACGTGAAGGGCTTCGGAGGGTCCCTCTCCGATGCTGCTGCCATGAACATCCTGAAGCTGTCCCAGCCAGCCCAGGACAACCTGCTGCGCTCCTACTTCTCCGAGAGCGGTGAGCAGCGAGAGCACGGCGGTGGGAGCGGACCGTGGGGTCGCCAGAGGGGGCTGTGCCTGTCCCACCTGCAGGGACATCGCCGCCTGGGCGCCTGCTCCGGTGCTTCTTGATGCTTTTCCTGCTCCTCAGGGATCGAGTACAACCTCATCCGGGTCCCCATGGCTTGCAGCGACTTTTCCGTGCGCCCCTACAGCTACGATGATGTCCCCAACGACCACGAGCTGAAGCACTTCAGGCTGGCGGACGAGGACGTGAAGATGAAGGTGGGAGGCTGAAGCCGCTGCCATCAGCACCTTTGTCCCCTCTCGTGCTGGAGCTCCTGCGTGTGCCGGGACCCCCAGGACCAGGTGCTGCTGAGCCCTGCACACCGTGGCAGGCTGCATGGGGACAGCCTGTGGGAGCTGGCACCTCCTCCGGGGCACGTCCTGGCGCATCCCAGCTGGCAGTGGCAGGGTGAGCAGCCACCGCTGTGCCGGGGGTGGTGCTTGCCAGCTGCCAGTCCCTGCTGAGGTCCTTTGAGTTCTCCCGTGCTGCTGGGCCCCGTGGTTTTGGGGAGCTGCACCTGGAGCTGACCCCGTCCCTCTGTCCCCTCCCGCAGATTCCCCTCCTGCGCCGAGCTTTGGCCATGAGCAAGCGGCCGTTGCTGCTGTTTGCCAGCCCCTGGACCGCCCCAGCCTGGATGAAGAGTAACGGGGACGTCCGTGGGAAAGGGACTCTGAAGGGGAAGGCAGGGGACAAGTACCACAGGACCTGGGCCAACTACTTCATCAAGTAGTGTCTCTGCAAGCAGGCTGGGATGGACAGCGGGAGGATCGGGGAGTGGGGTGGGGTCGGGGGGGCAGCACAGCTGATTCTGCCCCCCCCGTTCTCCGCACCAGGTTCCTGGATGAATATGCAAAACACAACGTGACCTTCTGGGCGGTGACGGCACAGAACGAGCCGCTGGCGGGGCTCTTGACGCCCCCCCAGGCCCCCACCATCGCCTTCACGGCCGCACAGCAGCGGGATTTCATCGCCCAGGACCTGGGCCCCGCGCTGGCCCGCAGCCCCCACCGCACACGGCTCCTGATGCTCGACGACCAGCGCATCCACCTCCCTCACTGGGCCAAAGTGGTGAAGAGCAGTGCCCCTTCCTGCCCCTCCGCCTCGCTCCCCAGCCCCAGGCTTTTTGGGAGATGGAGCCGTGGCCTCTCCCAGCCCTCGAGAGTGGGAGCAAACCGGGTCTGCCGGAGCAGCCGCCTCCGCCTGTGCCCGGCGGGAGTGAGGACAGGAGGTGGCACTCACATCCTGGATCCCCGGATCCTGGCAGTGCTGCTGGGCACCAGCACCTCTGCTGGGCAGAGTTGTGGCTGGTTTGGTTTCCCCCCCACGATGCTGTTTGGGGATATTGCCTTAAATTAGGAGGAAAGAAAGTAAAACGTGCTGCTCCTTTGCCTCCATGGCTGCAGGGCTGGACCACCCCAGCGGGGTGTGGAGGGAGGACCAGGCAGCAGGTGGGGGCAAGGGGCCCACTGAGGGGCAAACCTGTGCCCACTCCCTTAGCACTGCACCCAGCAAGGTGCCAAAGCCATGTTGGGGCAGCAGATGCATGCTAGGGTGTTGCTCAAAGGGGTGCAGTGCTGCAGGGTGTGGTGCCCATAGGAGGGGACAAGAGATGGCCCTGAGAGACCACGTGGAGTCCATGAGTCCATCCCTGCAGGCTTCAGGCATGGGTGGGCTCGGTGTGAGGCGTCTCCTTTGCTCCCCAGGTCCTGGGAAATGCCACAGCTGCTCGTTATGTGGCTGGCCTGGCCGTCCACTGGTACCTGGATGCCATTGTCCCACCTGGCTGCAGCCTGGAGGCCACCCACAAGCTCTTCCCTGACCATTTCCTCCTCTACACGGAGGCCTGCACCGGCTTCTTCACCTTCCGCTTCGCCGTGTCCCTGGGCTGCTGGGAGCGGGGAGACCACTACAGCTACAGCGTCCTGACGGTACAGCCCCCACACCGCCCTCACACCGCCCAGCCGGGGCTGGGGGCAGCCCCACTCAGCCCCTTCCCTGCCCCCCCAGGTCATGAACCACTTTGTGTCTGGTTGGACCGACTGGAACCTGGTCCTGGACCTGGAGGGAGGCCCCAACTGGGTCAAGAACTTTGTGGACAGCCCCGTCATTGTGGACGGCAGCAAGGATGTTTTCTACAAGCAGCCCATGTTCTACCACCTGGGGCACTTCAGGTGGGTTGGGGGGTTCAGGTGCTGCCACCTGCCCCAGACTAGGGGCAAATCCCCTCTCCTGGTCCTCTTCCCACAGCAAGTTCATCCCCGAGGGCTCCCGGCGGGTGGGGCTGCACAGCAGCGGCCGCTGCCTCCTCTGCCAGCTGGAGCACGTGGCCGTCCTGCGCCCCGACGGTGCCCTTGTCCTGGTGGTCCTCAACAGGTCAGCCCAGGCAGGGGATGGGGGTGGTGCTCAGCCCCAGCCGTGCCGACCTGCTCAGCCCCTCTTTCTCCCCAGGTTTGGCCGGGATGTGCCCTTTGGAATCCATGACCCCGCCATGGGGTTCATTGAGACTGTGGCTCCAGCTCACTCCATCCAGACCTACCTGTGGCGCCAGCAGTGATCGCCAGGGGAGTGCTGGGGGGCTCAGGGGGGCTCTGGGGGTCAACCCTTCCTCCATCCTTTCCAGCATCCCTCAAGGGTGGAAGCAGAAGGTGACGCTTTGCTGGGAGCGCAGCCCCTGCACGAGGGGCTCCGTGCGCTCCTGGCACCGGGACCTGCTGCTTCCCAGCCTCCCCTCCCTCCCGGCGCTCCCCATCCCCCTGGAAGTTCCCTCTGCACCGTCTCCTGGAGCACACTTCCACACGTGGCCCCCTTGAAACCTTCGCGTGTGTCGCGGGCGCCAAGTAAAGCCATGACGCGCTCCCTGCGGAATGCGCCCTTCCCGTCAGCGTTTCCTCTACGCGCTCGGAAATCGCTCGGTTTTCCTCGGCGGGGCCAGGGCTGCCCCGGGGGCTCCGGCCCCCGTGGCCTGCGGGTGGCTCCTTGTTTATCCCTGCAGCTGGAGCCTCCGCTGCTGCCAGCCCTTGATTCGTTCCATATGTGCTGTTGGTTTTCCCCAGCTTACTTTTTTTGGGGGAATTAAAAAAGAAAAAAAAAAAAAAATCCAAATGTCAGACGCTGTCGGAAAGGCAGAGTAAATGATATCAGTGTCCCCAGCCACCAAAGCTTACGGACGAATTAGGCTGGTGCCACCTCTCCAGGGTGGCCTCTGGACAGAGTCCCCTCTATTCTGGCTGTGGCCAACACCAGCCGCAGCCCGCAGTGACCTCCCCGTCCTGTTTGCTTTCCCTAAATACCAGTTACAGTATTCCCTGTGCCTTTGGGAACGTTCCCAGCACCTTTGAAGTACAGGAATGAGAAAGCCAGAGCTCTCCTTGGCCAATGCCCCTGTGTGGGAGCCACGGAACTGCTGAGGTTGGGGAAAATGAAAAACCCAGAGGATTTACAGCTGGTTTATTGGAGTGTGGCGTGAAGGTGGCACCAGGCTCTGTCCCAGCCCTGTTCCTGGAGCACACCAGCCTGTCCTGTGCTTTTATCCATGTTCCTGGGGAATGCTGGCCCCAACGGCATCTGGGTCTGGCTGCCTGTGCCTGGAATCATAGAATAGAGTCATGGAATCCTTGAGGTTGGAAAAGACCTCGAACATCATCAAGCCCAACCGTTCCCCCAGCGCTGCCAAGGCCAGCCCTAAATCACGTCCCCAAGTGCTCCTTACACATTTATTAAATCCCTCCAGGGATGGCAACTCCACCACTGCCCCAGGCATCTGATGCCAGGGCTGCACAGTCCTGCCCATGAAGAAATTTTCTTTAGTATTCAACCTAAACCTCTCCTGGGAAATGCCACAGCTCTCCTGATGCAACTTGAGGTCATTTCCTCTTGTCCTGTCTCTGTTCCCTGGGAGCAAAGCCTGACCCCCACCTGGCTGTCCCATCCTATCAGGGAGTTGTGCAGAACCAGAAAGTTCCCCCCTGAGCCTCCTTTTCTCCAAAATGAGCCCCCCCAGCTCCTCCTGGATCTCCAGACCCCTCCTCAGCCCCATCCCCTTCCCTGGACATGCTGCAGCCCTCATGAGGGGCACAGAACTGACCCCCAGGATTTGAGGTGTGACCTCATTAGTGTCCAGCACAGGGACACTGCCCTGCTCCTGCTGCCACACCATTCCTGACACCTTGGGAATGTCCCCTTCCCAAGGGACATCGGACCTCTGCTGTGCCAGGACATGGAGCTCTCACCCCCTTGTCCAGCAGTGCCCAGGGGCAATTGTGCAGGGAAAAGCTTTAGCCCAGCCCCTCTGGGCTGCCTCGCTGCTCCTGCCTGTTTGGAGCCACAGCAGGATGGCTCTGAGGGGTGGGGTGAGGCTGGAGGAGCCATCCCCATCATCCCACTGCCCGCAGCGTGGGCTGGGGGCAGCAGGAGGAGCAGGGCCTTGGGTGGGGGTGTGTTGGGGAGCTGTTTTCTTTATGGGCTGGGACTCTTGGGGTACGTTCCTTGAGTTTTATTTGCAGCATCAGCCTCATTACGTGATTCAGTCAATAGGAAGATGGTAAAGCTCAGGTACAGCCAGCAGCAGCTGAAGATTTATTTGTTACAGAGCACTTGAAAAACTTTCTAGCCAATAACATATTGCTGAAAGTCAGTAGTTATTGCTAAAGCTTACAGACAATTGTTTCAGCCAATTACTAAAAGTACCAAAAGTACTCATTGTAACATTTTCTACTTTCAGACTTTGCAGCTGCAGCCAGTTCTCTGTTCTGTTTCTAAGGCCTGCTCTTCCAGCTTGCTGAAAATCATCTCACCTTTACTGATTCCCACGGGGGGCTGTGATCTCCAGCCAGGGGCTGTGACCCTGCCTCGGGGGCTGCGGTTCCTGGGTGGGGACGGGACACTGAGTGAGGGACGGTGGTCCCTGGGTGGGGGTCTCTTCCTGGCCACCCTCCCCAGCTGCCTCAAGGGGACCCCGGGGAGCTGCCACTCCCCCCATGCCTCTGCCCTCCTCCTGTTTCTATTGCGGAGCCGATGCCTGTAATTAGGAAGGATCCCAAATTAGACGGTGTGGAGCCCAGACTTGTTTTGCCGATGATAAACCGCTGCTGCCGGCTCCACCCAGCCCGCTGCGGCGTGGAGCTCCGGCGTGCGGGGCACGGCGGGGGCGAGGGGACTCGGGCGGGCTGTGCCCACCCCAGGAGGGGTCGGGAGTCCCTGCCGTGACCGGCTGCTGCCTCTGCCCATGCTAGGAAAGGTGCTGGAGCAGCCACAAACGGGACACAGGTCTTGGCAGTGGCACTGGTGGTGGCAAAGCCAAAGTGCTGCCAAGAGCAGGGAGCCAGGGTGGGCACAGCCAGCCCTGCCCTGCCCTGCCCGAGGTGTCCCAGGGGCACAGGGCTGCTCCCGTGGGGCTCTTCCCTAGGGGAGCAGGGCAGGCCTGGCTGTGGGGGGTGATGGAGGCACCTGGGGGGCTGGAGGGCATCCTCCCCTCCCCAGCTTCCCTCTGGCCACTGGAACAGGTTTCAGGAGAGCTTTGCAAATTCTGCGGTGTGTGGAAAGCTCATCGGAGCCAGGTTGCAAAATCATCCCCAGGCTCCTCTTCAAACACAGAGTCCCATGAGCTGTCCCATTCCAAACTCACCTTTCCTGCTCCTCCAGAAGTGTCTCCTCCCACCAGGCACAGCCGGGACACAGGACCTGCCACCGCTGCCACAGAGACGCGGCAGCAAGAGGTGCTTTGGCAGCAGGTGAGTCCCCTGGGCCCGAGGTGGCTTCAGCAGGTGGAAATGGGGATAGAGAGGGGCATAGGGATGGGCATGGGACAGCCCTGGGCAGCAGGACCATGCTGAGGCCATGCCCTGGCCAAGCTGGTCATCATTCCCAGGCAGGGAGTGGGAGGCAATGGAGGTGGGACAGCTGCCTGGTCCCGCTCCACATCCCACAAGAGCTCGGGGAGCAGCAAGTCAGCACCATCCCACCCTGGCAGAGGTCCCCAGCGGTCCTCAGTCTGGCACCAGGGTCCCGAGGCTTGGAGGTGGCTCCTCCTGTGCTCTCGTTGAGAAGCTCCTTGCCCAGCACCACGGGAAGGACAGGACAGGGTGCGAGCACCTGAAAGAACAGGGGAATGTGGGACTCTCCATGCCAGGGGCTGGAGCCCCAAACCACTCTGGCTGGACAAGCTCCAGCTGCTAGGCATGTGGGATTGGGATTGTGGAGCTGTTTGCTCCTGGGCATGGCTCAGGGGTCACTGGGGGTACAGGGGGTGATGCAGCATGGCACGACACGGCATGGCACAGCTGTGGAACGGGTGAGAAGGGAGAAGGAGTGGGAGGGAATTGATGGGAGTGAACAAAGTTGCTGGGCACAGCCAGCGTGGGCAGCTAGGAGCTGCAGGCTGGTGGGGTGGCTCACAGCTGGGGGCTACGCACACCTGGGGGGCTGCACCCCACCTGGGACAGAGCCAGAACTGTTGGTAGACTCTGGAGGGGTGGGAGGGAAGGTGGGCGCTGGGCTGGAGCAGTGGGCAGAGGGCAGGACAGGCTTAGCCCCGGCAGGGAGGGGTCTAGTGGTCCCCTGGGCAGTGGGATGATGCTGGGGCTCTCCCTGCCCTGTGTTTCTGTCCCTGTGTGTGGCTGGGCCAGGCTGAGAAGCTCTGGGTGCTGACACCTTGCTCTGCTCCCAGCGTGTCCATCGGCATTGTCGGAGTCGCTGCAGCAGAGGTGCCATGGGGCCAGGCTGTGCCATGGGGCCAGGCTGTGCCAGTGTCCTGGGCTGGCTCCTGCTGGCACAGGCAGCCCTGCAGGCCACAGGTACGTGCTGGCACATGTCCCTGGGCTTTGGAGGGTGGGAATTTGGAGTCTGTCACAGGTCAAAGGGATGAGCTGGGTTCCTGCCACAGCCCTTTGTGCCCACCCGCTCTTTCCTCTGCTGCAGGTGGCCGTCCCTGTGACGCCAAGGATTTTGGGCACGGCTCGCTGGTCTGTGCCTGCAGTGCCATGTACTGTGACACGCTGGACCCCCTGGTCGTGCCAGCCCCTGGCTCCTATGTCAAATACGAGAGCAGCAAGGCTGGCAAACGGCTGGAGCGGAGCGAGGGGAAATTCCAGCACAACGCCGAGAGCCCAGGTACCACCCTGGGCTGTGGGAGCGCCTGTCCTCCACGGCAGGGGTGGTGACACCGTGTGTCCCCACAGATTTCCACCTCACCCTGGACACAGCGCAGAGGTTCCAGAAGGTGAAGGGCTTTGGTGGCTCCATCACCGACGCGGCCGCCATCAACATCCAGTCCCTGTCCAAGGCTGCCCAGACCCACCTGCTCCGCTCCTACTTCTCCGAGGAAGGTGAGCCCAGGGCAGGCAAAGCTGTTGGGGTCTGGCTGCTGAGATTTGTTCTGAGGGGCTGGGGGATCTGGAGCCCCCAAATGCAACTCGAGGATGCCCATCACCCCCTGCCCTGTCCTCAGGCATTGAGTACAACCTGGTGCGTGTGCCCATGGCCAGCACTGACTTCTCCATCCGCCTGTACACCTACGCCGACGCCGAGGACGACTTCGAGCTGAGGCACTTCAACCTGACAGAGGAGGACACGCACATGAAGGTGAGTGCTGCAGGGGTGGGATGGGATGGGATGGGATGGGATGGGATGGGATTGGACAGAATGGACAGGGGATGAAAGGCACATCCTGCTGATTAGGAGGGAGTGGACTCATCCTTCCACCTGGGGGGAAGAAAGGAAAGGATGGGATGGGATGGGATGAGATGAGATGGGATGGGATGGGATGGGATGGAATAGGAAGGGGAAGGGGATCACTTCCAATGGGGAGGGAGAGGACTCATCTGTACTCCTGGGTGGGATGGGACGGGGTGGGATGGGGAAAGGGAACTCCTTCCTGCCTCTGGCGGGGAGGTGACTCCTCCTGCTGTCCAGCACTGGGACAGACCCAGAGATCTCTGAGCCATCCCACTTCTCCCTAGATCCCCATCCTCCAAGCAGCCCAGGCAGTGGCCAAGAGGCCGCTGTCTCTCTATGCCAGCCCTTGGACCTCCCCGGTGTGGATGAAGACGAACGGAGCAATGACAGGGAGGGGAACACTGAAGGGCAGCCCTGGGGACAAGTACCACCAGGCCTGGGCCAAGTACTTCGTCCGGTGAGGAGCCGTGGGAGTGTGGTGGGTGCCAGGGATGCCATACCTGGAGCTGGGGCTGGCACAGGTGTGATGGGGCCATTCATCTTCTACCCCCCACCAGGTTCCTGGA